TATTAATAAATGGTTCTGCTTAATTTTTATTGTGACCATAAGTTCCCTTTTTTTACAGCGTGTGCAAGCGGTATTCATGAAAGAAAATTTACAAGGCAAATTAAAGAAAATATATATGTGTCTGTGTGTGTGTGCGTGTGTGTGTGCGTGTGTGTGTGTGTGCGTGTGTGTGTGTATGTGTTGTGTGGGTGTGTGTGTGTGGGTGTTGGATTGAATAAATGAGAACCATTTTGTCTGCTTTTTTTATCATAATCCTTTCTTATTCACGAATATTTTTCCGTAAATTACAATTATAATTGCAATATACAAAAAAAAATATTTTCACTGTTACAGTGCATTTCTTGCCTCATTTGAATGTAATCAGATATGCCTAAAAAGAGAATTTGCTGACTAAATACACAAATATATGTTATTGACATTTGGAAAAACGTTCAGGAAAACATGTCCCGAAAATAATATCCGATAATGCATTTCGCCTCTCACGGCTTCATCAAATGGATAAAGAAAAATGTCTGGGTATTCATTTGTGTATGTTTAAAATAGTTAAATCTGATGTTCATTTTAACCAAGCTGTCATTGCTCGAAAAAAGAGGAATAAAAATGAGGGACTTTTATTTTCGGGACCTATTTTCATGAACGTTTTTTCCCAATGTCAATAACTTATAACATTGTCGAGATTACATATGTGTGTGTGTGTTATATATATATATATTATTATTCATATATTATATGCACGGTACTTATTAGAAAGCGCTTAATGTCAGAGATAGAGCTAACATATTTTGTTGGGTTTATGTGAGATTGTTACTCAGTGTTTCACGCTTTTGCGATCGTCAGTTTGTCTGACAATCGCAAAAGCGTGAAACACAGGGTCAAAAACTCACATCAATTCAACTATATATATATATATATATATATATATATATATATATATATATATATGTATATATATATATATATATATATATATATATATATATATATATATATATATATACGTTTTAAAAAACAAGGAATGTATTGATTTTAATTTTAAAAAGTCCCTAAGGCCCTTCCAACCAACATCTCATCAGGAGACAATCGTTGGATCAACGAAAAGAATATTAACGACTGGTCACGAATACTCGTTGCCACTTTTGTGAGGTCAACAAATACTCATTGTCACTTTTGTAATGCTCGTTACAGTTGAAACTTTGGAATTGCCGATACAACTATCGTACACCGTTGAACAATACTGGTGTCAGACGCCTTCGAATAACACTCGCACTAATAGTACTTGCTCGATAATACTCACTTGAACAGTAATCCGTATAGTGATCCGAAAAAAGAAAACTGAACTGAGTAGAGAATAGCGGTCCGTATAGTAATAGAGGATAGACTAAAAATGAAGAACATGTGGACGTCACGCGACTTTCTACTTATGCATTTCTCCTATGGTCACGTGGTATACTTGATTCAATAATGGGATCGTCTGTGTTTGCTCACTGACGATCTATGTTCAAAATCAAGTGTCGGCAGTGACATTTTATTCCTATATAACAGTAAGAATCAGTGGTTTAACATAAATCATATTTTGTATGAAATAACCTCCTACTTAGGCTATTCCTCTATGGTCACGTGGTCTACAAACTTGTCGGCATTCCTAATAATGGGGTTTAACCTGTGTTTGCCTCCTACTTACTGTCGATCTATTCAATAATGGGATCGCCTGTGTTTGCTCAAATCTATGTTCAAACTCAAGTGTCGGCAGTGACACTTTATTCCTATATAACAGTAAGAATCAGTGGTTTAACAAAAATCATATTTTGTATGAAATAACCTCCTACTTAGGCTTTTTCTTCTATGGTCACGTGGTCTACTTGATTCAATAATGGGATCGCCTGTGTCTGCTCACTGGCGATCTATGTTCAAACTCAAGTGTCGGCAGTGACACTTTATTCCTATATAACAGTAAGAATCAGTGGTTTAACAAAAATCATATTTTGTATGAAATAACCTCCTACTTAGGCTTTTCCTCTATGGTCACGTGGTCTAATTGATTCAATAATGGGATCGCCTGTGTTTGCTCTCTGGCGATCTATGTTCAAACTCAAGTGTCGGCAGCGACACTTTATTCCTATATAATAGTAAGAATCAGTGGTTTAACATAAATCATATTTCGTGGCGAAAAATAACCTCCTTTATTCTTAGGCTTTTCCTCCTTCTTAGGCTATGGTCACGTGGTCTACTTGATTCAATAATGGGATCGCCTGTGTTTGCTCTCTGGCGATCTATGTTCAAACTCAAGTGTCGGCAGCGACAATTTATTCCTATATAATAGTAAGAATCAGTGGTTTAACATAAATCATATTTTGTTTTCCTCTAAATAACCTCCTTCTTAGGCTTTTCCTCTATGGTCACGTGGTCTACTTGATTCAATAATGGGATCGCCTGTGTTTGCTCACTGGCGATCTATGTTCAAACTCAAGTGTCGGCAGTGACACTTTATTCCTATATAACA